TGGCTTAGATTGCATGATTAACTAGTAAGAGTTTTGAGCTGGCTGGTAATTTTAGATTAAATAGCCAAGCAGCCAGTGACTTGAATATTGATGAATATCCTGTGTTTTATTAATATGCATTCTCTATAAATTAGAGGCTTAGTACACAAAGAAGAAACCTAATGCTCTTGCTATTTTTCATTGCCACAGGTAAAGCTGAATAATTCATAGCAATTAATTTATTTCACTGATTTAGCCTTTGTGTGTGTGTGGGGGGGGGGGGGGGAGGACCAGATAATTTTGTTCACATTTATTTATTATAAATAACTCACCAAACACATTTAAAGACTAAATCTTGGTTGCAGAGAATTTTTTATATTCTTAAACTGAAGAAAATAGGAGGAACTTGGCAAAACTGCAGGCAAGTCACCAGTCATTATAAAAACCCAAATGAATTTTGAATTGCAAAAAAGCACAGTTAATTGCAAATACCACCAAGTTAGAATCAGACTCATGTTGCTCTGTGTCGATTGGTGCAATACTGGTTACATTGCATGTTTCTGCTCCTTGTTTGATTGATTGTAATCCTTTAGGATGCAGATTTTCATACAAATATGTTTATGTGTGCAGAATATACTACCTGCAGTTAGTTCCTTAATGCATTTAAAATGGAATAGGTGAAATGCTGCTCCTTTTTAAAGCCCAAGGAAATGTTACCATTGACTTGAGAAGACGTAGGATTCCACCCCTGATGGAAATGTTCCTGAAAGTCGTTTTTTGGCCAAATAGAGGAATGACATGTCCGACTCAAATTAAATTTTTTATTTGTGCAAAGTTTCAGCGTATCCATCCATAACTTTGTGCGGTTTAGGCAGGGAGGAGCGGGTGCAGCTCTGTGTACGAGACGAAATGTTTCAGCATGAAGATCGTTTGCCCATCCTGGCAGCTGATGGTGTGGCCGTAGCCACAGCAGTGTCACACAGTAATATCCAGAGCAAGTAATATCAAGAAACACAGGAGGAGGAGGAGGTGGTTGGATGATTACTGTCTCTCCCTGTTGCCAGTTCTTACAACACACTGCACAGCAGTGAGAGTTGCATACGGCGCAATAAATCATTGCCTCATTATGCTGCTTCTCTAGATTCGTTTAGGGCACCTACTCCAGCACCAGCTCCAGAGGATTGTTTGCTCTTTGTAGAAATTCCCCTCAGATATAGACTTCTGTTTTGATATGGAGGAGGAGGGGGGAACACCCTCCATGTCTTATTTTTAAACTAATTTCTTAGTATACACAGCAATTTACATTACAGACCTGCCTAAGAAAATAGTTCAGGAAATGTCTGGAGTTTATTTTAATTTGTAGGTGGATGATTTTGCCAAGAGGAGGCAAGGAATAAAAGAGGGTTTTCATGTTTTGTGACTTGTCGACATGAAGTATTAGCAAAGGAAACACAGGGTCTTCCTTTCCTCCTTCCTTCCTCTGTCCTTTTTTACTTCCTTCCTCCCTTCTTCCTCTCTTCCTTTTTTTCTTTCCTTCTTTCTTTGTTTCTTGTGCACACAGAAGCTGCTGATTCCTTACCTAGGCAGATTATGGTCTGTTCTTCTCAGTAAAAGAAGCCTAAGTACCTCCATTAAAAAAATATTGCGAGGCCCTCATTCACCTTTTCCATATCTCTTTAGCCAGCCCTAGCCTACGGCTTATGCAAGAAGGCACCAGTCTCACAGAACAAGATTTTTTGACACTTGGTTTTGATTTAAGCAGACAATCCTCCTAAGAAAAAGTGTTCATTAGTTGGCCTAATTTACTAACAAGGAGCAGTATTCAGCCTTGCAGATTTTGGTAAAAGAGTATTTCTTTAGCAGTGCACCAATTGATGCTGAAATATCCTAGACTGCACCTGCAATGAATTTGAACTGCTGGAGCAGAGGCTTCAGAAAGCAGGTGTGTACACTGCAACAAGGCTGGGTTTTGCTGCAGTGTGACTATGTGATCTAGGATCTGATCCAGACTCCTTGGAAATCAATGGAAATTCTATCCTTGACTTTAGTGGGCTTTGGATCCAGTTCCAGTTGTGGCAAAGTGGTAATAAAATGACTCTAAGGGAGGTGGGGGAGGAACTTTCTGGCTTAAAAGATTCAGCAATTTCTGTTGATAGGTTTCTTTATACAAGGAATCCTGACTTCATGTTTGAATGGTGTTTGCTCACATCCCTCCTCCTAGTCAGCAATTCTTTGAAATGCAGTAGATTTCTGTTTGGTGACCATTAACGGACATCTTAGCTGGACAATGAAATTTCCTAGATGATTCTGATGTGAAACTTGAAATCATCAGAAGTTTGCTCAAAACGTGATCTATCCTCACTCAGAAGCTCCCTAAGCTTTCTGAACCTTTCAACAAAACTGGATGCATTTAAAGCCATAATGTAACACAAAACCAAGTCGGGTTCATATAATCTGGGGGTTCCTTGCACATATTTGTGCGTGCTTGTATCTCAGAGACCTGGATATAAATTTCCTTTGATCTTAAGATCTTCCAAAGGACTTAGGAGTAGATGTGCTGAGGTCTGGTCCAGAGAAGAGTTTTTCCAACACCCACTGCAGCCTGAGTCCCCCATAAGCACTGGGGACTCAGCAAGAATTGTACCCATGTCTTTTAGATGACAGTGCAGTGATGCCCTTCTAGATTGATTAAAGAAGGGACATTGACTGACTTTGAAGGGAGCCACATCCACCCTTCTTCTGCCAAAAAGGCAGCGGCTGCAACACGAAGCCTCAAGAATGGGGCCTTGCTCCTCCAAGTACATGGAAGACATCCAAGGGTAACTGGATAATGCAGATAATGGGATAGGGTTTCTCCCCTCCTCTCCCTCAAATACCATATAGCTAAATTTTAGCTATTCAGACTTAGGCCTTAGGAGAGTTTTCTCTGATAGCTGTTTAAAATATGAAACAGCTAAGGAAATGAGCTCTTTTTGTAGGTTACATAGGATGTTCAGTGATTGAGAACGTCAAAAGGACTGGTAATTTTTATCTTGGAAGGGACTTCAGTGGTGATGGGGGAGATTATGCTGCGGCACGGTCTTCTGCTGTTGTGAGGACCAGCATGAGCACCCAGACGGTGCTAGCAGAGGAAAGAGCATTATCCCTCTGGCGAACCCACTCCTGATGATTTTACATGCTGTCACTTTGGGGTGTCTGCCTAGAGAGATGCTAAAAAGGCCTAATTATCAGAAGATACTCAGTATCTTAGCAATATCTGGTCTCTTTAAGGCACCTTGAGCTGGCACTGAGAAATATTGGCATCCAAAATTACCACTTTTGAAAATCTAGGCCACTGAACCTAATATGAACTATTAGAAACTAGAGATGAGGGAGCATTTATGTTGGAGAATGCTTAGTGGCTTGAAAACTACAAATAAAAATATTTCATCCTTTTATGTGTAAATCTCTTTCTCTTTGATACAAGAATTGAAAAGCTGTCTAGTTTCCTTGTAGTTTCCATAAGTAAGCAGCACACTACTGTATCCCCTCGAATGCTATTTAGGCTTTATTTAAAGTGTAGACCTGTTAAGGTCAGGAAGGCTCATCAGTATGCTAAAACTGAACCAAGTGAACCTTACGCCTAAAACCAGTAAACAAGGAGGTCTTGAGTACCATGGTCCCCTCCTGACAACGGTGCGATGCAACAAATGGTGAAGCACCAAAAGATCAAAGTGCTTTTTCAGAGATAACAATAAAGTAAGAGCCAGAAAGTCACAAAGTCCTGATGCAGGTGTCTGCTATTTGAAAGCAGTCTTTCTCATATATGACAGTGCTGGCCCGCTAAAAAGGGACATAGGCAGGAACTGCAAACTGGGTATAATAGCATCAGCAAATTTTGATCACATTTCTGAGCCAGTAAAAGGAACGAAGAGTCACTGTGAGATACCCATGTGGAAGGGATTACTGTAGCTCACTGAACTTGCAGCAAGCATATTGAAAAGAAACTTTTTAATGCAGACATGTTTTGCACCTATTCCAGAATCATTTACCTCTGTCTGAGCGGACAGTTTAATCTGGGTCCTGTTGAAGTTAATAGTTGTCTTGCCTGTCAGAAGGATTATGTCCCTAAATAGCTATTTTAGGAAGTGTACTTTGCTTGAAGATAACACAAAGCAGAGGATGGATGATTAACACCAATTAGGATTATTTACGAGAATCTAGAAAACAATAGGTCTACAAATCATTCTCTTATCAATTGCAGTTCCTCCTGCATAATTTACTCATCACTGGGCAAACTGTGTTTCATTGTTCTTAAAGCAGAGATCCTATTCATGTTAGCTAAAGTTTGTGGAAATGTTGAAGGTACAATATGACCTAATAAAACAGCAGACTTCTGGTGGTTTTCAGCATTTTTTATTTCATGAATCCCCTACAGTTTTCCCCTGAATATATTTAATGAATTTAAGCTGACTCACAGTAGCCTTGCTCTGCTGGGGTTGCACTTCGGCTGTGTCTATACTAGTGTTTTGGTTTGGAACGATAGGGTGGCTTTGCAGTAGTGCCCTGATTGTCTCCATTTATTGTGTACTAGTGCAGTTGCAGAGCAGTTTTGGTGCACCTAGATTCCTTCTAGAGGAGACTAAATGGGAAACTCCCCCAAAGCGTTCCAGTGCTTAGTGGGGACGTTCAGCTCTCATCCAAAGGGTGAGCCACCCCACTGCTAAGTCCTGCAGTGAGCACGTAACACTCGTTGCTGGTGGAAGGCTCTCAGACTGCCCAGAGCTCCCCTGCCAGCCAGAAGTGGATCTCGCGCTATAGAAAGGGTGAAGTGCTCTATGTGTCGCCCTTTTTGCTGGTGTTTTTGGAGGAGCAGCTCCTGTGACTCTCTGCTGCTCCTCTTTGTTGCACCAAGACTTCTCCTGATTCTCTTTTCTGTTTATTAACTGCCCTGTCTTTTCTAGTTGTCCCTCCTTGCTACTCTCCTTATTTCTTCTATTTTTATCACCTTTTGTGATCCCTTTTCCAATTTCCAACCTTAGTCTCCCAGGAGATCTGGAGTGGTGACACCTGGACCCAGAGGAGATCACACTGCTTATAAATCTGTACCATGAGGAGGCCAAAAGTTTCTTCAGCAGCAGGAGGTAACCCAGGACTGCTGACAGGTATGAGGACCAGAGAGCAATGCCACGTACATCAAGAAGATGAAGGTGCTGTTCTTGAAGACGGAGACTTTGGGGCAGCATGGCAGTCCTGTATGAAAAGCTGGAAGAGATCTGCGGGTGGGAACACACCACCAAGCCAGCTGCTTACTTGGTTTAGTCCATGGACCTCTGAGGTCTGCACACCAGAGACTGAAAGCTTTTGACTGACCCTAAATTTCCTTTCTGACTGTGGACTTTTGATGTGATAGGAGTGGCATGAAAAGTTCAATATATCTGCTTTGCCATAACTTTTTTCAACCTGCTAACTATCCCAGGACTACTTTCAGTTAAAATTACTGGGACTTAATTACATGAGACTTAATTCCAGTTGCTTGGTCAGCTTTAAAAACATATATTAAAATGTGAACCACAAGCACAGCATTTTGGGAGCCTCTTTGTCCTCTCACTTTACGTTGATGAAAGCAAAGAAACTGCCTATGATTCTCCACTTTATTATATCTATTCCAAGTCCATCTCACTTCTGGAGAGACAGTTCCCAGAGTCTCATCAGTTTAAGGGGGGCACAAACTACCCCTTATTTTAAGGCTTATGTTTTTGCAACAGTGTAAACAATATATGTTAGCCTTCTGCTTACACATTTTTTGTGAATAAAATTTATTGAGGCCGGAGATGCTGATGTAAAATCAGCTACACTGATTTTACACTGGATAAGAATTTGTACTGAAATTTTACCTAGAAGTGTGGATTTGGATGCTTCTTGCAGTGCTTAATTGCAACAAAAAAGAATGGGATGGGAGAACCAAAGGAGGGGCATGGGGAAAGGAAGAAAGAGAAGGTAAAAGGACACAGAAGGGAAATGGTAGAGTTGAAGAATAATACTGGTTATCAGAGCATTATCTGAGAATTCTTATGATTAGGGTTTATTTTCTGTCTGACCTCTCTATTTTGTTATAATCTGCTGCTCAGGTGATCAATAATAAATGGCCTCCAAATTTCATTGCTTTGGCTCGCCTTCAGTAGAAGCTTTTGCATCCATTTGTTCCTTTCTGTAAGATCTTGTTTGTGTTAAGGCATGAAGACTTTCTGTTTCTGCTGGGCTTGGCTTGTTCTTCTGGTTCATTAGTGTTATTATTTAGGTAGGAAGAGTCCCATAGCAATTCATGGAGTAACAATTCTATCTATTGCACTAGGATGATCAAGGATGCATTGCAGCTGATGTGCAAACACAGGTGTATATCCTGAGTAGGGTTCCCAGCTCCACTGAGCAGATGAAAGAAGTCCTTGACAGAGTCAACATCAGAGGTTTTTTTTTAAACACCCCCAACTAGCTAATGGCTTATTCTTCATATCTTGGCAGTGTGCTCCTTCCTTCCCCTGCAGGAATGTTAGACTGGCTCTGCTGCTTTGTTTTTTGGTGTTACAGCATGCAAAAGAAATGAAGCTCAAGACTCTGACTTGTAGTAGCTCATGCTGCTTTGTCCTCTGCAGCCTGTGATTGCCTTACCTCAAAAGAGGTGAGTATAGCAGACAGTATGTTTCTTTAGAGGATGATCTGCTATAGTTGGTACAGCCATGCTGGAGACAGCTGCTTGTACGGGTTGGCTGTTGTTTCTGGGAGCTTGCTGTTATATGCTTATGGGCTGAGCGTTCAGCTTGAGAGAGGAGAGGAAATGACCTTCAACCAGCTGAACGTGGAACTTACTCAAGTGACCGCCCCGAGGATCCAGCACTTGGAGACCATTTTCCCAGGCTGTCAGGGTTTTTTTTCAGTGTTTAGAGACTGTGTGTATATTAGCAAAGTATGTTTATGATTCATGGCAAAATGGTGTACGTTGATTTAAGTGATGGACTAGTCATTCTGTAATGGATTTGAGAATTCCCAATCAGATTGTGCTTAGTTTTATCAAGCAGGAAGCTGGCAGGCTGTGTTTTAATCAACTGATAGCATCGCTTGGCAATTGGCATCCAGCTAGTGAACAGAGTATTTCTCAAAGACCAGCTTGCTAAGTCACAAGCAGCCACATCCACCCATAGATCTTTTGGGTCTACCTCCTATTTATTCTGTGCAGGTTGTTACTTTCCCAAATAAAACTTCTAGCTCAAAGTGCAGAATGATGCAGCACATTCAGGCACTCTACTGCTTTTTCTGTAGCGTTGGAGGGGGAGCAAAAAGGGACAGAAGATATTTGCTCAGTCCTTTAGGAAGCTATGTTGAAAGAACCTCCTGGATATAACACAAAATCCCAGAACCATGTCAATTCAAAGATCTGTTGTTAGCACAAGTTTTCTGAGAACTTGCATTCCATAAGCACAATGAGTCTGTGTTGCTGGGCCACACTTAGTGGGATGGAGGCACAGCCTTTGCTCCTCCCTCTGGGTCAGGCTGTTCCATTTGACTTCACCACCTTAAAAAGTATCCTATATTCTGACCTGTGCCAACAGACATTGGAATGGCTTCCTTCCTGACGAAACACATCGGCCTCTTTATTATCTCTGGGAGAGACCAGCTCTTGTTGAACATCTTAACAGTGCAAACCCTCAGGTGCCATAGCTACCTTAAATGATTTCCTACTCAGGATTTATGTGCTCTCACAATTATTGAGCTATGCAGCCATACACTCCCACGTAGCTGTACGCGAGCGTAGAGCCAAACCCGGGGAGCTGATTTGTTGTGCCTAGCTCCCGCACAGAAGTTGCTGTGCTTAGCAACCTACCTCCAATACAAATATATCTGCTACTGTGAAGAGCAGTCTTTGTAAAGCACCAGAAGGGACTGATCCCCCATGATGATTTTATCCAGCAGCTGATGAGGCTGCTGATACAACTCACTGCAGTGGATCTTGATACTGCCTAAACAACAACGGTCCTGTCTGAACTGCTTTTCAGCTGGCCAGCAACGGCCACACATGGAGAGCAAGCGTGGGGTTGTCCATACGTAGCCCTCAACGCTATCTTTGGGGAGGGGCCCCATGTCCCACCCACACCATGGAGCACCGCTCTGGATAAAGGCAGATACTGCCTTTGTGCCAGAGGTGGCTCCAGCAGACCCAGTGCCAGTGGGCAGGGAGTGCTTTGCTTTTGGAAGGGGACAGAGCCCCTGGGGATTTACTTGCCTCTCCTGTGTTCATCACGTATCCCTGTGCCTGGGCTAGGGCACTTGTGCCTGGGGAATAGGTTGGGCGAGAGAGAGCTCACCCATGGTTTTCAAGGGTGAGATGAGAATGTGCTCTTGGCAGTCCAAAAACACAGCTTTAAACAGGTCTAGCTGTTTTTGTTTAAAGAGCTGGCTGTTTGCTTATGGTTTTGCTAAGCTTAAAAATAGATTAATGCTCCATATCTTTTCATGTATGCTCTGTGAGAAAAGAGGAAGGGTGTTGGTTCCCACTGCTCAGGGAATTCACATCACACCAGCTTGTGGTCCACCCTGAATTTGAACGGGTGAGTTACCAAATGAGGCATCGCAAGACCTTCTTCCGTGCGGGGCGAGTCTCCAGCTCTAGAGAGAGCCAGTAGGTCGGGTCTTGAATCTGGGGGAGGGGACTTTGCTGCATAATCCTGTCATTTGAAATTTGTCAAACCTTTGGGACCCTCAGAGATGAATGGTGATTGTAAGGATGTAAAATAGTAATGGTCACAAAAAGTAATAAAAAGGAAAGTGAAGTGTAAGTACCGGAGTGGAATGATTCATCAGGAAATTGTGCTCTTGAAATTGTGTTCTGAATCCTGTGTGAGGCAGAAGGCGTGATGAGTAAGGGCCAGATCCTGGTTTGTGCAGATGAGTTGAAGATGTGTTCAAGATTAATAATCATCCCCTGTAATTTAAGGGAACATCTTAACATCCATCTTTTGATATTGTCTGTTTACCGTTACGTGAAAATCAGAGAAACTGAAAAAGATCACTGTCTCCAGTTTCACATTCAACTGAACACTTCACTGGAAAACGCCATCCAGTGCAAGAACTGATGCTAAAGTTTCCAATGACAGAATTGCAAAAAGAATATGTAAAAGTAAAGCTGAAAAGTCTTGTGCGTTCTGTCCCTGGATTTGAGAACATAGGATTTCCACAGGGTGTTTTTCTATATAAAATACCTATTTGTATGTTTTCCATTTTTTTTCTTAAAATAGCAACGTATCTTGGACATATTCAATAATTTGAAAACATTATAATTAATTCATCTGAAACTTATCATAAAAAATAAAGGGGAAAAATCCCCCAGCTAGATGTCAAGAGCCTCATCTTGACTTTCCTACCAATGTTTCAGGGGGTTGGGTTTACTTAGTACAATCTGTTTGCTCACTTGTATAAAAAAAACCTGCTGGTGGAATCATCTAATTTCCAAGAGCATCTCCAGGGACAGGAGGCCACATTACAGTATCACACATTGTATGTCATTCAGGCAACGTCTCCTGAATCATAAATCCAGTAGAAAGCAAATGGCACTTGAATAGCAGATTTTCCCTCCTCTGAGGGTTTTTTCCCAGCACACTGTACTCTTCCTTGTGTTATCTGACTCCTTTCAAGGTAAGTTGCATCTGTGTCACAAGTGAGCTTCAAAGTCTTTTGCTCATCTCCATTCTGCAGTGAAACAGACTCTGTGTAACACGTGTAGCTCTGCTGCATCTGACTCGCATCCCATTGGACACTACTTCATACATAGCTTTTGTTTTTTTCCCCCCTCTCATCTTTGGGCTCTCATTTGTATCATCACACTTACCCATGTTTTTGTGCCTGTAGATGCTGTTGTGTGAACTGTGGTGAACTAGAGCCAGTCGAAAAATAATCTGGCCAGAGAAAAGCTTAGGGTTTCGGATGGATCAGTTCCCTGCTCTGATTTGCTGCATTCCTGTACAAAAAAAAATCTGCTTGCACAAAGTCAGGGCAGATACAGGATAGACAGGACCTCTCTAACACAACAGTGGGGCTCACTCAGGTGTCTGAACTCCTGTCTCAGTTCTCTCAAGGATTTTGGCAAAGAACTCAAGAAGTGATTATATGGTCCTAAAATACTCCAGCAAGGTCCTAAAATACTCCAGCAATCCCTTAACATCCACACAGTCAGGGCTTCAGTTTTTAAGATTTGATCCCAATTATCTTGGAAACTTGCTAGTTACTGTAGAACCTTGCTAGCCACTTGCTAGGGACACGAAATCCAATGCAAAGGTGCACTTACAGCTTCCCCAAATCTCTGCTCACCAAACCTGTTCCTTTAATGGGGTCCTCTGAGGTAAAAAGGTGTTGATCCTGTTGCTCTAAAGATTATTTTTAAATTCAAATCTTAGGCCAAGACCTCAATCCCAGCTCATGCAGCTGACCACAAAGACCATAATCAATTTTATCTTGAATGGTAAAGCCATTTCAGACTGCCACTCCCACTCTCTATTCCTACGTGTAAGAAGTCAGCATTGAAGTAGTTGGTCTGATTTGTACCAGATTATTGTGACTACTAGTTCACTTACAGCACAACTGTACTGCAGAAAAATAACCCTAGCCCTTTTAAACATTGAAGGTATTAGGAAAAAGGACAACATTAGGACTAAAAACAGTTCAGACAATTTCTCATTTCCATTTATTAAAAAAAAAAAAACATAATTGAGACTTAAAGAAAGAAAGAAAAGCCCTCCATGACTTTAAGTGCAAAATCCATTTTAGTAGCAGGAAGCTGTTATATGGTTAGAGCAGTTATTTTTATTGTCTGTCTGGGTATAGTTTTTAACTGCAGGCTCAGAATAAATCAATAGTGTCATAAAGCTGCTCTCACCCTGTGCCCTTTCTAAAGGGACATTGTTCAGTGTCTGCACTGGATGTGACACAGACCGGTGCTTTGATGCACAAAATTGTACCTCGACTGCTGTTCTGAGGGGGACCTCTAAGTGTGACATGTATTTAGCTATATCTCATTGTTCATATCATCTCAGAGCTGCCAGTTTTAAAGCAAAAGAAAACCCCCGCACACACAAACGCACAGAAATGCTTTAGTGAAATAGGA